TACCTCTCCCTGAAGCCAGGTTAAAAACAATAGGCTGTTAAGCGTCAGCACAGAGGAAAGTAGCAAACAATCAAGTGCTCACCTTCCATTGTTGCGGCCAACTCCCCAAACTCGAATCTGGTGTATCGGTTGGCTGTGCAAGACGGTGTCGCTGTCGGCGTCCCGCAGTTTCAAATTATGGCTGTCCAGCTCCATGATTAACTCCTTGCCCTAAATTAATTTGAACACTGCGTCGTCACTGATTAAGCGATTCCTAAACAAAAAAACCTACGTCGCCCCATTTAGCCACTTTTTCCATGAAGTCGTTGCGACCCGTGGATAAGTCCATAATAGCTTGATTGACGGCGCGAGAGCTTCTCTCTGGAGTCAAATTTTCCTCAGCGATTTCAGTCCATCCGAGCGAACGAACCGCGAAGCGCACCGACTGTAAAACCAGCTTACGATCAGCCGAATGTCGTACAGCAGAATGAGCATGCTTTCACAACTGGCTAAATTAGTCCTTAAGCTAAAGGCAACGAATCTGCAGATCATTCATTCCAAACTTGTGTGCCTCGCATCATATTCATGTGTCACTAGGTTGGAAAATGCATTATGGGCGTTTCCCAAGAAAAGTTTTATCGTAACACATCGATTAGGCTAAATTAATTAGTCGTTGGAGAATGAAATGCACGCTAATGATCTATAGCATTTTAATCGCTCGTTGTGCAAACATGAGCACTCTCACCCTTTGAGAAAGAAGGAGTTCCGCAACAAGATGGTTCATACAATCCAGTGTAAAGTTTCGTAGCACTGTTGTTACAGAGCCAATATCGCCGCTGTGTTTGAATTCCATTATTTCTAAAAAGCCATTTATCTCTATACGCGAGGGTGTGCAAGATCCTCGAAGTAATCTGGAATGAATGGATAAAAGAGCGGCTAAAGAAAGTAGGATGGTTCAGCGAAATCGGTAGTACGACATAATGCTCAGCGACTTGCCACTGATCGACCATGCAACATTAATTTAACATATGTAACGATACCCTAACCCTAACCAACTGTGAAAGCTGAAGAGCAAATGCGATAAGGCTGATGATACTGCTGATAAACAATTGATAATTATTAACCATTACATATAATATATGCACAATGTTTGCTACATTAAAACTCGAATAATTTCAACTGACGGTGATGATTAAAAAACACGAGAAACCTCATGCAAAGGAGGTGAGTCAAATAAGTGAACAACGTCGGTCTGCCATATTGCAAACAAAGCCCATATTTTTGTTTTCTGTCAATTACCGCCTTACGCAGAACGATGCAAACCCTGTAGTAACATACTGATGACTGACACTCGTTCGGTCGAAAAGTTATTTTAGTGCTAGTGACAACATAATCGAAGAAGCAACGACTTTCGATTACTACGGCCATAGTATGAGATTCATGATATATTTACATTTTCATTTTAGTTGGTTCTCGACCTCATGTGCATCCCAATTCAGTAATGCGACCTTGCATCTGAAGCACTGCAAGTCCTCAAATGCTATGGAGCCATAACCGGCTTAAAAGCCCCCCAAGCAACTAGAATCAAAAGGACGATGCGCTTACACCGGAAATTAGAAAGCTATTGTGGTACCTACCCCGCGATACATTTATTTACATTCTCGTTTTCATATTTATTCCACTCTTGAATAAACTGTCGTGCATTCATAAAGAAAGTTCAATAATTTTGAAATACGCTTATGTTGAAAAAGTGACTAACAGAAAATAAATTCGAACTTGATTAAGCAGACTTCTAATAAAGAGAATCTATCAACTAAGTGACTTTTCGATCTGAATCTCAGACATTTTCGGGACCGATCTCACAGGAGCTGACGGTGACGGCTACGGATTTTAGATGATATCATCCTGAACCTAAAAATCAGGGAGGTAAGGATCGACACATAAATCTGTCATACCATGTCACAAACTTATTCTACGAAATGTACATTTTACTTAATGTACTGAAAGTTTAGAAAGTTTATTGTTCAAATGAAGTCAAAGAAGAACATCATTTCTCAGCCGTCTTAAAAAATAACAAATAACATAATACAAAAGCAATAAACTAGATGAATAACGAACGCCATAGTAAACAGAAATGATTTTGCACCCTTGTCACAGTAAAATGACTGCAACGAAAATTAGCATGAACTACGTTTTGTTACACTGAGCATGGTCAGATACTGCTGCTTCACACTGTCTTTATCCCTGAAGATGCACGCTGATATTGGGACAATGGATTTCCGATAGAGCTCCGCCAGGAAAGCAATGCTGAAAACCCTAGATGTGGTGGAGGTGATGCGCGACTGGCACTGGAAGAGATATTCGTAGAGTGGGCGGGCTGATTCAGCCTTTGCAATGGCAGGTCATTTACGGAAAGACCACTGAGTTTGGAAACAACCATTAAGTGATCACCTTAAAGTCGCACGCTAGCAGCCCGGAAGCAACGAGGGCCGCTGCGTAGGAGTACAGGGGAATATAAATGTCCCAACGGTCTGTCTCTACGCAAAGAGCCACGTTAGTCTTTTCGCTTAAAAGGCTGCTCTGCAGAATCGATTCACTACTGATCACTGGATCAATGCCCGTACCAGGAGAAACCAATTGACGTTCAATTACTTGCAGCACTTGGGTCATTGGTTGGTGAGTAGTTCCCAGCGTTTCTCTAGACAAATCTGAAACTACTTGGTTTCGTGTTTTAGGCATGACGCAGATTCATTCCTTGGCTTTTCCGGAGTAGAATACGAATTTTTGAGGGACAAAATAATGGCAGGTAGCATATGTACATTAGTGTAAGTACTCAGTCCTGAGATATCCTCAGAGAAGTCAAAACGATCGTGTCGTCAGCATACTGGCATATTAGAATGGAGTACTACTGACGATGCAGTTGTTAGTAAACGAAGACTAATTGCATTATCGAGTGACAAACTAAAGAAAATGGTTAATGTTTTCAGCATTCAAAAACGTTACTTGAATTATCTATCTGTTGGCAGACCAACATCGCGTGAGCTTTAAAAGTGTTTACTTTACACAGCAATGTCACATAAAGGTTGCAAGACGTCAGGCCATACTGGGTCGATCCTCAGCTGCCATAACTACCACAACTGTAAAATACAATAAGTCCAATAAAAAATGTTAGCAAATATTGTGAAAGTTTAAGGTGAAGCTTACGAA